GACATAAGTTTGAGCAAACTCTGGAAAATAGTGAAGGACAGGGAAGCTTGGCGTGCTGCCGTCCACGGGGTTCCAAAGAGTCAGACATGACTTAGTGACTCAACAACAACAAGATACATCCACTGGAGAAGGGCATGGGAACCCACTACAGTATTCTTGCCTTGAGAATCCTGTGGACAGAGGAGCCTGGCAGGTTATAGTCCATAGGGTCACAGAGAGTCACACATGACTAAAGTGACTTAGCACACACACACGCAGATACATCCACATCCCCAAGCAGTTGCTTCTGGCTGATTGGAAAGAGCTCAGCTAAGATGTGAGTTCAAATCCCAGCTCCTCTTTCATCAGCTGAGAGATACTGGAAGTACTTAAACTCCCTGGGCATCAAATACCTCTCACAACAGCCATCCTTTGCCTGGCCTTAATAGATTGCGAGAAACAGCAGGGGGTGACCTGGTTCCAGCAGCCGTGGAGGGTACGCAGATGTTATTCCCACCTTCCAGATAAGAAAACTGAGACTCGGAGAGGTGAAGGTACCTGCCCACAGTCACATCCTACTGTTTGGGATTCAGATAAGCTCTTTCTGCCTTACCTTGAACTCCCAGAATCAGATCTGCCTTAGGCCAGGGTGCTCTGAGCTGAGTTTTTTGGGGGGCCTGGTTGCTGCATCCTGGGACATGAGAGGACCTGGAATTAACCAGGTGAGCTGAGGAACACCCGCCCTGGAGAGCAGGAGGAGTCAGAGTCAGCTGCCAAAAAGGATCCTTGGTGTCCCATATACAGCCACCTCAGGCAGCAGGAGCTCAGAGAGCCTGGTGGCCTTCCTGACTGATAGATACACAAGCTTGTAGCTCCAGTCAGGTCTTAGATGAGTGACCTGGGGCCCAATATGTCTCCTCTCTGTTTCCTTGTGTGTAGATGGGGTAACAGTCTTTATTTGGGGGAATGTTTCAATGGGCTAAAACTACCTATGAATAGTGACCACAGGGCCAGGTAAACAACCAGAGCTCAATAAATGGTTTTCTTGTTAGACTTGGACTTTGAGAGAAGCAGTGGGGCAGAGTGACAAATCTGGGACAAAACTGGCTCAGAACTTGGCACGGGAGCTCCTAGGTTGGCCTTGACCTCATCTGTTGCTCTGTGGTCCCACAATGACCCTGGATCCCCATGAGCAGATCCCTTCTGAGAGCCCTGCTCCCGAGTGGGCTGCTCCTGAGACCCCTGCCGCTGTCCCAGGACCCCCAGGAAACTTTTTGTCCCACAGACCTTGTTTATTTGTTCAGGCTGATAAGCAGGATTCTCTGGACTCTGGTTGAGAACAGGCAAAGTGCATTGTTCTGCAGGCCTTTTTTTCAGATGGATTTGGTGGCGTGGTCAGAGCTTGGGGCTGGGGGGCAATGTATGGGAGTTGGGGGAGTTGACAGTCCCTCTGTTTTCTCCCTGCCCCTCCCTGGGTTTCCTAGCCTGGTGAGGGGCAAGTCCATGGCTGCTGGAGGATGTTGAAAGGTGACTGCAAACCTCATCTGGGCCCTGGGCTGTGGTCTCAGGACCCCTGGAGGGGGAGGGCGGGTAAGGGATGAGCAGGCGCTACTTCCTGGCTCCAGATCTCCTGCTTCTTACTCTCTCTGGAGCCCTTCTTAGGACACTCTGCCATACTCATGGACATAATGCCCCTGACGGGCAGTGTAGCCCATGCGCCGTCTCCTTTAGTTCTTCCCACACTGTGAGGCCAGGCCTGTTAGTGATATAACAAGGACACCCAGGCCCAGAATGATCATGTCTCTTGCCCAGGGTTTGTGTCTAGAGCCAGGAATTAGCCCAGGTGACCAAAGGATGTACAAGCTTCACCTCCACACCAAACAGCTAAATCTTCGTCCTTAGAGAGAGAACAGTTTTGGAGAATTCCCTGGTGGTCCAGTGGTTAGGACTCTGAGCTTGTACTGCCAAGAGCATGGGTTTGATCTCTGGTCAGGGAACGAACTTCCCTTAAGCCACACGGTGTGCCTTCCTCACAAAAAAACAGAGAGAGGGGAGAACATTCATTTGTTCATTCAGTCCCTCATTCAACAAATCCTTTGGAGGCCAGTGATGGGCAGGATCTGTGTTAGGCTCTGCATACAGAGACCTTCCCCCAACAGCTTATAAGGAGACTGACCATTAAATGACTCACAGTCATCAGGGGTTAAGAACAGATGGGGGCAATTAGAGCACCATCAAGGGCAGGTACCTGTAGCCCCTGGTGTAGGGCTGGGGGCCAGATCAGGGAAAGCTCTTGGACATAGTGAGCTTTAACATGGGCTCCATTTGTGGATGCATTTAAAGTTCTCATCTGAAGCAACTCTCTCTCTCTTTTAAAAAATTAATTAATTAGGTTGTGTCAGGTCTTAGTTTCATCCTGCAGGATCTTTTGTTCTGGTGCGTGGACTCTGTAGCTGCAGCACGAGGTCCCAGTCACTCCAAGGCAAGAGGGATCTTCATTCCCCAACCAGGGATCGAACCCATGTCCCCTGCATCACAAGGTGGATTCTTAACCACTAGATCATCAGGGAAGTCCCTGAAGCAGCTCTCTTGTTTAGCTGTCTTGATCACAGCACTGTTGACTTTGGGGGCCAGGTCATTCTTTGTTGTGGGCACATTGTAGGATCCTGAGCACTGTAGGACATTTAGTAGCCTCTCTGGTCTCTACCCACTAGTGATGACCAAGAATGTCTGCAGGGCTTCCCTGGTGGCTCAGTAGTAAAGAATCCACCTGCCGATGCAGGACACACAGGTTTGATCCCTGGTCCAGGAAGATTCCACATGCCGTTGGAGCCACTAAGCCCGAGCGCCAGAGCTACTGAGCCTATGCTCTAGAGCCCAGGAGCTGTAATTACTGAACCCACATGCCGCAACTAATGAACCCTGTGTGCCCTAGAGCCCATGCTCCTCAACAAGAGAAGCCACCGCAATGAGAAACCCGTGCACAGCAACTAGAGAGTAGCCCCTGCTCACTGCATCTAGCGAAAAAGCCCAGGCAGCAATGAAGACCCAACACAGCCAAAAATAGATAAATAAAACTAAAAAACATCTGCAGACATTGCCAACTGCTGCTGAGGGATGATATTATCCCTGATTGAGAACCACTGGTCCAGAACAGTGCCTCATGTGTGTGTTGAACGATCCTGCCGTGGGGGCCCCACTCACTGTGAGATGAGGGTTAGTTAGTACCAGGTATCAGTGTTGGGGATGGATGCCGCATATAGCTTCTGGAGAGCCGTAGGGAGGAGGATGCCACAGCCTTGGTTGCTGGGTATACACGATTAGCCATTTAGGTGAACGACGCATCAGAGCAGCTCTATCAGTTAGCACCTATCTAACCAACAGGTGGGCTTTGTGGTGACATCTCCACATTACGGGGGCTTCCCACATGGCACAAGTGGTAAAGAACCTGCCTGCCAATGCAGGAAATGAAAGAGACTCAGTTTCGATCCCTGGGTTGGGAAGATCCCCTGGAGGAGAGCATGGCAACCCACTCCAGTATTCTTGCCTGGGTGGAGGAGCCTGGTGGGCTACAGTACATGGGGTCAAAAAGAGTTGGACACGACTGAAACAACTTAGCATGCACTCTCCATGTTTCCACACAGAACTGTGCTGCAGTCCATGTAGCTTTTTGCTCAAGCAGTGGAAACATTGGTGGACGATGTTAGAGACTCCATCTCTTCACCTGATGCAAATCGCTGTGCCATTTATGATTATCCACTTGCCACCTGATGCGAAGAGCCGACTCATTGGAAAGGACCTTCATGCTGGGAAAGATTGAGGGCAGGAAGAGAAGGGGGAGACAGAGGATGAGATAGTTAGATGGCATCACTGACTCAAAGGACATGAGTTCGAGCAAACTCCCAGAGATAGTGAAGGACCGGGAAGCCTAGCGTGCTGCAGTCCATGAGGTCACAAAGAGTCAGACACGACTGAACTAAGTGACTGAACAAGTCAGTGATGAATGTCAAGGATGTCAAGTCTGGTTGGAGCTGTACTTATTAGGCACCTGTTGTATGCCCAGCAGCTTCCCGGGTCCAGAGGTCAGAAAGAAAAAGAGAAAAGCATAATCCAATCATATATGGGCCTCCCAGCTGAGCACTGGCACTTTCCTCTGGTCTGTTCTGAGAGTCTGGGTGCCTAGCTCTGCTTTGATGTTAAAGCATCCCTCTTTTAAAAAATTAATTAGTTAGTTAATTTTTGGCTGTCCTAGGTTTTTGCTGCTATGCGCTGGCTTCCTCTAGTTGCAGCGAGCAGGGGCTACTCTCTAGTTGCAGTCCACGGGCCTCTCATTGCGGTGGCTTCTCTTGTTGCAGAGCACAGACTCTCGGCACTTAGGCTTCAGTGGGTGCGGCTCACCGGCCCTAGAGCTGAGGCTCAGTAGCTGTGGTACACGGGCTTGTTTGCTCCATGGCATGTGAGATCTTCCCTGACCAAAGATCGAACCTATGTTCCCTGCACTGGCAGGTGGATGCTTACCCACTGTACCACCAGCGAGGTCCATAACCTCAGTCTTGAGAGCAAGTCCTCTGATGGTAGAATCCAGTTATTGTTTGTTGTCAGACCCCAACTGTCTAGCAAGACAGGTGTCCCTGAATGAGAGAACAGACTCTCAGAGCAAAAAACATCTGTTCTGTCCAAGATTCCTTCTCAGGGAGCACAGGGGATGGAACTCTGTCCCAGGGGGAAGCGCACTGTGCTTCGTGATTACTGACATTCGGGCAAGAACTGAGCCTGGCTTTCCTCCTGTATAGTCTGGGAACATGGATGCCCCCCAGGGGGTGTGTGTGGGTGTAAACAGCAGGTGATAAGAACAGGGAATAAAATCCGGGTGGAAAGATCAGACATACCACCTCTGTGGCCCAACTGTTCCCTCCCCAGCAGCGGCATGAATGGCCCCACACTTTCCTGGCCAAGGTGCCCCCTGGGCCGTTTCTCAGTAGAGACCGGGCAGCCCCTGCTGACGCCTTCTCACCTACCAGGTGCCGTGTTACTCGTATGGGCAGAAGCTGTCCAAGCTGGCCATCCTGAGGATCGCCTGTAACTACATCCTGTCCCTGGCACGGCTGGCCGACCTCGACTACAGCGCCGACCACAGCAACCTCAGCTTCTCTGAGTGCGTGCAGCGTTGCACCCGCACCCTGCAGGCCGAGGGCCGCGCCAAGAAGCGCAAGGTATGTGCCAGCTATGCGGACAGCAGCCTCTGGGGAGGATGGGGGAGGTAGGGACTGGAATCCAGGGCGCCTCTTACTCGCGTCCAGAGGCTTCCAAAGGGACCAGCGAGACCAGCCTCTTGGAGGTTTGCTGGGATTCAGGGCTCCTCAGGCCCCTGGGATTGTGTGTGACTCTATTCCTGGGGCTTCCCAGGTGGTGCTGGTGGTAAAGAACCCACCTACCAATGCAGGGGATGTGAGAAACATGGGTTTGATCCCTGGGTCGGGAAGATCCCCTGAAGGAGGGCATGGCAACCCACTCCAGTATTCTTGCCTGGAGAATCCCAAGAACAGAAGAGGCTGGTGGGCTACAGTCCATGGGGTGGCAAAGAGTCAGGCACAACTGAGCAAATTAGCACACAGCACACTGGTAATGGGGCTCCTGGGTACCAAGGACAGTCTGCTTGGGCCTGCGTTTGCTCATCATTTAAATGAGGACAGCTTATCTCTGAAGCTCTTTCTGGTCTTACATATTCTGGTGCTGAGTTCCCCACTCAGCCCCTGATTAATGTCATATTAGGGGGAGATCTCATGGGCTGGTAACTGCCCAAGAGAGCCCTTCAGTATGTTTTGGGAATATGACTTGGCCTGTGGGTTACCTGAGGCTGTGCATTAAGGTAAATCATGTTCATTCATTCATTCATTCATTCTGAAGAGATTCATAGAGCCCCAGCTGTTTGCTGAGCCTGCTGGGCAGGCGTATAAAAATGATAAACATGCAGTCCCAGAACCTCTGCAGCTCAGAAGATGCTCAGAGACCCTCTTGCATCTGGATGAGGGCAGGAGAGTATAGACAGGAGGCCCCGGAAGCCTTTGCTGGGCTCCAGGAAGGCCAGGCGGAGGAGGGACAGGCTGCCTTTCCTGCCCAAGGGAGTTAGAAAGATCCCCTTTGTGTAAGTGGTGTTTGAGCTGGGACCAGCAGGACAACCAGGAGGTTGCTGAGCAGATGAAGCAGGAATAGCATTGGAGACAGAGGGAACAGTGTGTACAAAGCCTAATGTGTTAGGAGAAATATGGGCAGGAGGAAAGGTGTTGGGCACAGCTTTGCTTCCCAGACGGCTTGGCTTCCAGCATTTCCAGTAGAGGATCATTGCCAGACAATGCAGAGCAGGGCTTGGGATGCAGCCCTCTGGATCTCCGTGCACACGAAGCTACAGGGAGAAAGACAGAGGCTGGGACCCAGCCCATACCCATAGGAAGGGTAGAGGTGGTTAGAGATGCCTGACTCCCCTGGGCATGCAGGGATAGGGAGAGTGGCGGGGGTGCAGGTGCGGGCAGATGACTCTAGCATCCTCCATCTGTTCCTTCCTTCCACCTCCTTCTTCCTTCCTGGCCTGCCCTCTCCCCATCCATGAGCCCCAGCCCCCCTTTCAAGGAGGCCCTTCCCTGGGTTCTCCAGGCCTTTCAGAGGCTCCTTCAAGAGGCTTCCAGGCAGAGAGACCCTTGTGGACTCTCCTGCCCACAGCAGGGAGGGGCCAGCACATCCCCACCACCAGCCACTGCTGTGTTGATGGTGCGTTGCAATCCTGGGAGTGATTTAACATGGACCAATTAGGTGAAATCTTCATCTAGTGGGTGAGAAAGGAAGCACCACTGGCTGCTCGCAGGGCGGCCTTCCTCTGGGAAGTGACATGGATAAATTAAAGACGTGATTGATGGCTCCATGCAGCGCTCTGTGACAAAGGAGGGTTGTAAACTCTGGGTGAACTTCCCCTGGCATTCGGGCGGTCGGAGGTGTGGATGGGCAGGGTGGGCAGGCTCCATTTCCCCTGTTTATGCCCCTCATCCCCATCCCCACCCCAAGTCCTCCCCTCACCCACCAAAGGCCAAAGTGCTGCCCCCCTTTCCCTGTTCTGTGGAGCAGAATGTCCTGGGCTTGGGAAGAGGAGAGACGCTTGGAAGGTGAGAGGAGAAGAAAGGGAAGTTGGGTGACGATGGCCAGCAGAGATGAGTTTTTGGCTTCCCCTGAAATCAGCCCAAATCTAACACACCTTAGAGCCCATCTGGTCTAGCCTCCCCATTGTCCAGATTGGGAAACAGGTGTTAGATGGTGGATAAGAGCATCAAACAGGCTTCTCTAGTGGCTTAGACAGTAAAAGAATCTGCCTGCAATGCAGGAGACCCAGATTCAATCCTTGGGTTGGGAAGATCCCCCAGAGAGGGACATGGCAACCCACTCCAGTATTCTTGCCTGGAGGATCCTACAGACAGAGAAGCCTGGCAGGTTACCATGGGTTCACAAAGAGTCAGATATGACTGAGTGTCTAACACTTTCACTTTTAAGAGCATAAAAGAGCCCTGAGTTCAAGGCCTGGTTCACCACATACTAGTTGTGTCATTTTGGACCCATTTTTTAACTGCTTCTTGCCTCAGTTTTCTCTTCAATCATTGGAGATGTGGAAGCACCAGTGATTTCCAAGGCTGTTTGCAGCCTGATTTCCAAGTAGAGATCCTGCCTCACCTCTGAAGGGCAAGGGACCCCTGGCATCCTGTAGCCCCTCCTGCCAAGTGGGATGTCCTGAGGCAGCCATCTCCCGAGGACTGTGCCTGGACAACCACCATTACCAAGAGGACTTAGAGGGAGGGGTGGAACAGGGTCCTGGAGCTGTTGGGACATCTTCAGGCCCCACCACTGTTCTGGCAGATTGGCTGACCACAGCATCACCCCATTCCTCCTGTGTGTGCCTTCCTGCATCTCTGTCATCATGCAGGTAGGTAAGTTTCAAGGTGTTCTCAGGATGGTCTTCAGTGACCACTGAGTGACCCTGAGTGGCTTGAATAGGCTACTGTTTTGTTAATCAGAACCCCTGGAAATACATCCCTTTATTTGTTCATTCATTCATTGATTCATTCAGTGTTTATCAAGCACTGGCAGTGAGTTATATGTTGGGAAATCCCAACCTGAGCACATGGGTGCCATGATGGGTGTTAGCAATGAGATTTGAGCTTCCCGAGTCTCTATAGATGGGCTTCCCCCTTGGCCCAGCAGTAAAGAATCTGCTTGCAATGCAGAAAATGCAGGAGACTCTGGTCTATCCCTGGGTTGGGAAGATCCCCTGGAGAAGGGCATGGTGACTCACTCCAGTATTCTTGCCTGGAGAATCCCCATGAACAGAGGAGTTACAGTCCATAGGGTCGCAAAGAGTCAGACACGACTGAAGTGACTGAGCATACACACACAGAGTCTCTGGACAGAGCATGTGGATGCAGCGGGGCGGCGGAGAGTGGGGGGATTCAGATGAAGCCCTGTTACCTGTCCCCTGCAGCCACTCAGGGCGACCTGAGGGTTCGGGGATGCAAGTGAGTCAGGCTTACATTCTAATGAAGGATAAAGAAAGGAAGAAACTAAAAAACATTCTGATGTAAGTGACCAGCTGAAAGGAAGTCCTCCATAAATGATCACCAGCAATCCCATCGATGGCACCCTGAGCTGTCCCACTCAAGGATGGCTCCCTCACAGTTCATGTGCCCCAGGGGCTGGGTAACCCTTTTCCAGGACGCCTCCTTGAGAGATTGTTTTCTGTGTCCACTGATAAGCTGCCTTGTCCCTCCAGGCCTGTGTTAAGAATGGGATTTAAAGTGAACTTGACTTACCCCCTGGGCCCCAAGCATATCCTTTTGCCCATCCCAGCCTTGCCTTGCTGGGGGTGGGCACCCACATCCCTTGACTGGTGAGTCCTCCATCTCTGGGCCTCACAGGATGTGACTCTGAGGATCCAGGGTCCATCTGGAAGCCCCAGACGTGCAGAGAGGCCCATCGGAGGCTGCCCAGCTGAGAGACAGGTGGGAGGAGTGGAAGGGCTCCGCAGAGCTCAGCTCCGACTCAGGCCGCAGCCGGAGATAACGCGCCTTAAGCACCTGGCTCTGGGCCATGTTTCCGCAGCTCCTGTTTTTAAAGCAGTGACTCCTAGGAGCTTCTGAGGAGGAGAAGAAAGAGCAGCAGAGCTGTTCCACACCTGGGCCGGATCGGCATTGCTGAACCTCAGAATAGGAGAAGACCAGTTTCCCACAATCTAGGGCATTGCCTTCCAGTGATTTGAAGCTATTGAATAAAATAATAGCAACAATAACAACAACAATAATAGCAACAAAAAAGCAATAGCAGGAACAATAACAACAACAATAATAGCAACAAAAAAGCAATAGCAGCAGCAGCAGCTACTGAAGTTGATGGTATAGATTAAGCCCTGGTGATAAATGGCCAGTAAGTTCTTGTCCCCCACCAAGTTGCTCCCAGGCCTCGGGGCTGTTCCCCGGTGACTCTGGTAAAGAATCCGCCTACTAATGCAGAAGACTAGGGTTTGATCCCTGAATTGGGAAGATCACCCGGAGAAGGAAATGACAACCCACGCCAGTATTCTCGCCTGGAGAATCCCCATGGAGACACACACAGAGAAAAGTCAGTCATGGTGTGCTGAGCTCGGGGCTGTACCAGTCACCTGGGCAGTGATTGGTGATCCCAGGCTGTGATGGTAGCCGTCAGTGACAGCCGGGCTGGGAAGGTGGGCTCTGCAAGTCTAGAGGCTGCTCCTCACCTGTGGGCAGTCTTCAGCCAGAGGAGGCCTCAAGGCTGGTGTGGCTGCATCAGATCTGCATCGTTCCCCTTTTCCTGCTGCTTTCTGGGCAGGGGGAGCTTTTGGTGGCGATGGCAGGTTGGAGGGTAGTTGCACTCCCCTTTGGAAGGACATCTTAGGTGCAGACTTCTGTGTCTTGGTGCTAGGGGCAAGCTGAGGTGGCACATTGGTTTTGGGGTTAGGGAGTCAGTGGGAGCCAAGATACTCTGTCTGGTATCTGAGCCCTGGAGTGTGGGAGACAGCAACTCCACAATTCCTGTGTCTTCTGTGTCCCCACTGAGTGGCATGGTCCTAGCTCTGTCCCCCTGTCGCATAGATGGTCACCTCCACTGGGGCTTTGGCTTCTACTTCTCCAAGGCAAGTTGACCTGGGAAGTGATTGCTATGG